TGGAACATCCAAAGTGCGTCATTTTATAATTCTGGATTCGTGCGAATGGAAATGTATTATTTTCCTCACGTAAATTATAGAAAAACTAATAAACGGAAGCTCTAAATTTGACTGAATTTACGAAAATAATTAATGGGTTTTGACGTTATTCTAATACCAGACATTGGATTTTAAACATCCTTCGATTTTTAACATGACCCGTAAATATTTATGGCATACATACTTCAATGCCAAAGTATATTTCTCATTAATAACTTAACATGAGTTCATTAATGTTTGTGATTTTTGCAGAAACATGATAAATATTTTCGTATGACGATTGCTGCCACTATATCAAATGGATTTTTTTTTAATTCATCCATCTTGACTCCGGAAAGTTTTACTCTCTCCAACTGGTTGTAACTGTATATATTGCGAGACTTTATTTATCCCATGAATAGCGCAATAAAATATTAATATTTCGCTATACGTTTGTATTGCTTTGCAGCATTAGTCAAACTGCTTACACGTGCATCATTTCGTTCAAAATATTAATATTTTATCTCCGGTTTCTTTTAGGGAAAATTTGTTTGGTTTTACTGAGTTTTTAATAGATGTACCTACTCACATTCTGTTGAAAAAGCATGTTTCTGTTATCTTACGGTGTTATTGGTCGAAACTCTACAAAAATTTGTTTAAACTGAAAATCGATGAAACATTTGATGAACTCTCGGTTGCTTCGATTTAATTTTTTGTTGTGAGGACCTTGATATAATAATTTATATGACTGTGACTTTACATATATGCATGCACGACACTATGCCGAGGCACATACGACATTCTTTATCGTCCTAGAATTTTCCGGTCTGGCGCATTTTTATATCTTCGTTTCTTTAGCTTTTATTATCAAATATTATTCTGGCTCACAGAGCACGTAGAGTATAGGATTGCAACTCTAATGATGCGGTAGAAAATGCAAATCGAATTTAAAACGTTTCTTTTTATCATTTTAAAGCAATGTTAATTTTGAAGATTTATTATCGAAGCCAATTTACAGAACGCTCGGTGCTGCAGGTTGAATTTTTAAAAGGTTTTACCTTCAAAATTTTTTGGTGTGTGATTTATAAAGCGCCTTTTGCAAAAGTGTATTTTATTACCTCAAATCTRATTCATTATTTTACCATTTCCAGCAGCGAATACASTTGATAGCATTTCAAGTTAGATAAGAAAAGACTTGATATTGGATATTTTCGAATCATCATGAACAACAAAATACAAATGTTTTAAGTTTWTTATTCATTCGTTTTTAAATAATCGGCAATCAAAAATTATAAAAACAATTTCCTTTCGCAGACAAGCAAAAGAGAAAATCAGTGAGAGTGAGAATAAAATTCCTAGTAGCTTTGCTTGCCATAATGCGTCTAGCCGATCGCTTTCGTTACCGAATCCTAGACAAACAAACCAGCCATAATGTTATCTAACAAAATATTTATTATGAGAATTACTAAAGTAAACATATAACGAAAATTATTCTCCTCTTTATGCCCCTTCCTTTCCCCCATTAAATAAAACCATTTAATATTTGCAACCTCTTCAATTTAGATCTGGTGTATTATTTATTTCTCTATTGCAGATGCAAATATAAATCCGAATTGTTTATTGCCAGAAGTATTTATATTACATTGAAAATATGTGAATTGTTGGCCAAGAAAAATGTTTTAAATATTTACTGTGAAGTCCAGTCGCTTTACATTATGATTAATTTTAATTAACCTAATGTAATTTATATCTTATTTATTCTGATATTATTGTTTTTGTACTTTATGTTAATTTTCCACATTTCTCAAAGAACAGCAGCACGAACGTACCTAGTTTACTGGAAATATTTGTTGTAAATTTCAAAATTGTACACATCAGTTCATTTTCAAGAAGAGAAACTACATTGAATGTAACACATATTGTCTAGATGCACTAAATATTGATTTAAATGTGTAATAACAATAACATCTAGCTGAAAATGAATCCCGGTGAACTTTCATCAAGTAGAAGTAAACAGTGTGCAAATGATGCGTTTTCCATTGCCACACATTTTCCAGTATGCAAATACGCTCGTTTCCCATCACGTATGACAAAATATTATGTTTAAAATGTGTGATTTAATGACGTCCCTTGAAAGTCGGGAGAAAGGTGTAGAAATAACAAAAGCTCAAATTTACTCGCTGGTGGAAACTTTGGATAATGTTACATGTTACCGGAATATAGTACTGCAAGGATTTTAAAAATTGACATTCCAGCATCTCGGCTTCCTCTAGCAAGGTATGGCGTATTTTGTTTGCATTGCTTTAGCATTAATTAAAGAAAGGACTTTAAATTAATAATTGTATTGTGAGGTAAAAATCAACCTATCAGCATACAAGCTGTAAATGTGTTTAAATTTACTTTTATTTATTTATTTAAAATTGGCACACTAAGAAACAAAACGTCTTTTTTAATCAAATGTCTGACATAATAATTAATAATTCAACTCTTGGTCTTGGTCAACTCTCAACTTTTTTGGTTTTGAAAAAAAATGTATTAACACATTTTTCTATAGGAAATAAAGATTATTTATATATATATATATATGTATTAACACAATTAAATCTAACCAAAATGATTTGAAATTCTAGATAATTACGATGAAAATAACCCAGAGCGATAGACAAAGACTATTAGACAAAAATAAAAGAACACCGTACAAAACTTATAGAAAATCACGAAATTAAAATAAGTATTTTTTAGAACCCATTTGCTTAACTATTGTGATTTTTTAAAGAATTAGGAAAATTACAAGGCGCAAATCTAGGTTAAATAGCTAACAAACATTTTATTGAAAATATTTTATAAAGGGTTGGGATTTATAAAGAGAGTCAATTACTGTGCAATAGTTGAACTAACTAAAAATTTAGGATTCATTACCAAAAAAAAAACAGATAGATACATTTATAAGAATTTAATATTATTCTCATATAAAATTTCCCAACGAATCCGGTTCTCCAAAGACAGTATCGTCATGTTACTTGTTGGTAAAGTTACTTGTTGGCCACGTTTACGTGCGATAATTCAAACCATTTGTTTATGCTTTTATTTAAAGGAAAAAGCGGATTTATACGAAAACATATTTGCGATATACGAGGGCTTTTTTAAAATAAACCTAAATTTTCTAAATTTCTAAATTACACCTTGAAGGATTAGAAAACTGCTCGTGATGATGTTAAGTCACGAAGAACCAGATTCCAGATTCCTACTTTTTGAGGACAACTAGGAGACGATCGTTCTAAGATATTTCGATGAATTATGCAGCTTCAGCGCAATATGAAAATGAGATTATACAAACGGTCGGTATAAAAGCGCACAAAGACTGTATCCAAACAATAAGCCATTTATTGTCCCCAAAATCATTCAAACCCCAACTATTCCCCCAAAACAGGGAAATATTAATAAATTTAAAACCACTATGAGAGACTCATGGTTATGACAAAGGAGGCGTACTTTTGGTCGTAGAATATGCAGTTATAGGATTACACACTCTCAGCCTGCATGTAGAAAATTATTTAAAACTGAGCTGAAAATTCTAAAAGGGATTAAAATGTAGAAAAGAAACAAACAAATTTTTCCCACTCATAGCTAACTCATTAAAAATATCGCAAGATTTAAAGTAAATATTATAAATACGTTGCAAATTCATTGAACATTTAATTATGGTATTTAATGTAAACTTTCGATAAAGTTTCTATGTGTCTAATTGTAATTATATGTTTCTATGTGTCTAATTTAATTGTTAATTTTGCAAATTGAGAATACAATTGAAATGAGAGTGGGTATTTTTAAGGGATTCACTATTAAACAAGCTTTTTTATGGAACATAGTGTCCCAGACCATAAATTCTCCATTTTTTACAGAAAGTAAAATATTCAGAACACGAACAGACAGCCATTAATATTCTGAATGTCTGTAGCACATAATGCAAGTTTCAGGTTAAAGCCACTTTCTGATCAATTTCTATGCAGATTTTTAGCGTTATAAAATGAGACATGGTGCAATTGTTTGTCAATATTTAATATTTTCATCGAGGGATTACATTAATATTTTTAGAATATCATCAAACGTTAACTTGTAGGGTTACAGAGTAATAAAGACACGTCCAGCAAAACCGGTAACGAAACGAAGCAAAAATACAAAATACAATTTGCAAGAGTGAAAGAATTAATTAAATGCAACAATTTTTAGCATTGAGAATGACGGCATACAACGGTACAATAGAATTGACTTTGTCAAACGTTAAGCAAAGTTACTATTAAGAAATTTGTGAAATGTGAAAAAATTGTTAAAATTTAGCAAAAAGTAAGTGTTTCAGTCTTTCTTTCCAAAAAACTGCTCCATTAGAAATATTTCTAGTACTACAAATAAATAGGATAGAACAAATGTCTTTCAGATCGCAAAAGTATTAGAACTTTCTTATATTGAATGAAATGTTAAAGTGTGGTGTTAATCTTAATTTCGAAGAGTTTCTTAATACCTACAGGTCAGGTGAAGGTAAAAAATAAATTTAACAAGTTTATGACAATAGTTTAACACAACGACACAAAATTACACTACACAAATTACTAACAACTTGTGGAATTATGAGTTTACTTAGAAAAATAGAAACTAGTTAATTGCTTCCTTTAAATGAAAAAATTAGTTGTGAGTAAAAACCTCAAAACCCTAAAAAGTTACCTTTTACTTAATCCATATAACGTAACTTTAAATACCTATTGCTTAAAAAATGGTTTTATCCTTGGAACAATTATCGGCAAAACGTTGCTAAAAAAACGTTTTATTGGTGAAAAAATTGATCTGGAAATGTTAGAATGGATTATGTTTGAAAAATCAGAATTTGGGACAATAGAAACCCGAAAGGAATTATCGCAACCCAAAGTCACGATTGCAATACAAGAAAGGAAAAGTTGAAGAGAACTCGAAACTCAATTTAAACTTACCCACAGTAATGGACAGGTGACCCTTACTCCCTTCTGAACTTGTTTACAAAAGAATTGAAAATGACTTTCCCGATTAAACTTTTCCAAATTTGTACGCGCTTTCCTACAGGTGCCGACGCCAGTTTAGTGGCTCTAACAGGCGTCGCGACGAAGACTGAAGAAAATGCTTGGTCCAGACGCACGCGATGCTGTGACGGAAAGTTTGCGCATAAATTTCGTCGAAATCAACCCACTGAATTCGATGGAATAGGCTCACTTTTTTATGTTCCTAAGTTAAGCAGCAATAATGAAAAGTGCCGGGTGATTTGCCCATGTTGACTAAAAGCATCTAAAACGGGGCCAGTCCTTATATACTTTTTACTTCTGGGATTTAAGTGTCGTGAAAGGTTTCCGTATTTCCCAAGTTTCTGCTTAGCAATTTAGAATTTTATATTCATTTCACATATTAGGCCAAGCCAATTATTTATGAAAATGGGGAATAAAACCCGGTCAAATATTTGTCCAATCTCTCAACTATTTTAGAAGCCTCAAAGCAGAAAGCTTCGGAATTATTTCTCAGTGTTCCGAAAAGTCTCGGAATCATAAAACCTGAACAAAAAGTGCTTGCGTTCGTATGGAGAACGTTTGCCAAAACGATATCGGAAATCAAACATCGCAATTTTGTAGCAGCTAAGATTACACACGTGAAATTGTTTGTGGTATTTAAATCAGACTAAAATACCGTGATTTTATTTTTTTTTTAAACCAAATGATTCATTTTTCTTAGTAATTAAGAGCCGCATACTTACAAAGTAGATAGGGTATTTCTCAATTGATTTGTATATTCGATGATAATTCTTTCACTTACAACGAAATACTTATTTCAACAGAAATCCGTTTGCGGATCTACAGGCTATTGAAATTTAAGTTTTATCTCGCTAATTATTCTAAAATAAAAATAGTAAATTACTTTTTAGTGTAAGTGCAGTTTAATGTAGAATACATTATTTTATGTCTGGGGCCTTCATAGAAGACTGAAACTGATTTTGTTTTCATAATCAAAAAAATAAAAGCCTTCATAATCAAAAAACATGGTTTGTTCAAATGTTTAAAATGTTGCACTGTTAATACTGACAATTCGAATTGCGAATCCAAATTAGTGCCAGAATTTGTTTGTTTTTTTTTTTCGTGTGTAAAAAAGTAAAAAAAAGCTTAAGGTTTAAAAGCACTCTTATTAACATTTTTCTTTAAAAAAATTGCGTCTTAATGAATTATATTTCTAGAAAGTCGAAAACTGTATTAATCTTGTAGTTTTAACACTGTTGATTGATAATAAAGTTTCAACGCTTTTCGCGTTTGGAGATATTTCCATAATTACTTAATGATATTTTTGCTTACAAACCTGTTTCAAACATATACAGGGTCTCCCCGAAAATGTGGGCATGCTCTCGGATTTGCACCGGAAACGTTGAAGAAACATAACAAGTTTCTGTAAAAAAAAATTCCAGAGGGCCTCCTACTGAGATACAAACCTTTAAAGGAGCCAACTGAGAACCGATTTTTTTTTAAATATCTTTTAGAATATTTCATGCAAATTCAATTATTTTTTCATACAAATTAACAAGAATACATCATTGCTCTTAAAAGGGACCCATAAAAATATTTTTATCATTTCGGTTTGCCAGGGATGGACTAAAGATACGAAAATAATGTATTTAGGTATCTTTAAATTTAAACTAAAAAAAGACCTACTCTTGATTTATATCGATAAACAGAACAATTTTCGAGGAAAAAATATTTTTATTGAATACGTATTTGAATGCATGTATTGGTGGGCTCTGTATTTTATTATTTATTAGTTCGTTTTTTAACGTGTAGAATTAAGGTAAAAATTATTTTTCACTGTCCGTTAGCAATAGAGTTTGCTACTTTAACTTATCAAAATTTATCTTATTCTTAAATTCGATTTTTTTTCGTAATGGAATTTACGTTATCGGAATATGCTGGTATGCACTTAATGTATGGACTTGCAGCATATGATGCTTGCAACCACGTGAATCGCGATGCGGTTGCTGAAGAAGATATTTAAAATGCGGTACAAGCAGATCCTTCAATAAGTGTCCCTGAATTAAGTTCCCACATTCCCAACACGCAATTCGGACAACGTTGGATAGGACGAGAAGGACCCGTGGCTTGGCCTCCTCGATCGCCAGATTTCAAGCCTTTAGATTTTTTAGATACATTTTAGAGACATAGAGACAGAGATAGATTTAGGGACATTTAAAAACTTTAGTGTATGCCAATCCTGTAGACATTTGGGAAACCTTATTAGAAAGCATTAATTTTCATTGCGGCCAAATAAGAACCAATGTTCAAGCATTGTGGAGAACGTAACAATCTACAATTCTTCGAGCTGGAGTGCATAAGATTGGAAGGAGCTCATGTTGAACCTACATACAAAATTGTTCAGTAAATAAAACCGGATTCAATAAAAATATTTTTTCCTCGAAAACCGTTCTGTTTATCGATATGAATCAAGTGTATTTTTTTAGCTTAATGTTAAAGCTGCCTAAATACATTCTTTTCGTCTTTTCATTGTAAAGGGCAAAAAAAATTACTATTATTGTGCTCCACCTAGTCCATCCCTGGAAAACCGAAATGCTAAAAATCTTTTCATGGGTCTTTTTTAAGAACAATAATTTAATTTGCATGAAGTATTCTAAGTTATTTTTAAAAAATCGATTCTCAGGTGGCTCTTTTCTCCAAGGTCTGTATCTCCGCAGGGGGCCCTCTGGAAGTTTTTTTTATAGAAACTGATGATTGAAAAATTGATTAAGATAAATTGCATCATATTTTTATATCGAATAAATTATCCGTTTATTTAAATAGAGATGCAAGGTGATAATTTTGTACAATATACAAGGATAGGTATACAATTGAAAATTATCGGTACAATATACGGCAACTTTTTTAACACAAAAATATTATTTTTCAGTTTTTCAAATACACGATAGGAAATTTGATCTTTCGATTTTATTTTTTATAACATTTCATGAATAGAAATGCATAGTGCTTTAAACTCAGACGAACCAAAAAATAAAACCAATTCAAACATTTAAGAAAACTTAAAATTCACGACACAAGGTACTGTAAATAATTTATAAATATATTGGTAAGTATGGAAAATGTTCTCTGAAAATGGAAAAAAAAATTGAAGCAAAGGAAATACCACAATTTATAAATCTTTATCTATTAGGATTAAATATCTTTTACTCTACAGTTCTTGTCTTGCAAGTCTCCAAATAAGCACAAATGATCTCTTGAAGAAATTACGAAACATTTGAATGACGTATTATTTGAATGTATATCTAAACTAATGAACCTAAATCACGCCAACTAATTTTGCAAATTTAATCAATAAAATAGGAATTTATAATAATTATAATAATAAAGCTCCAGCGGGTTCCCACATATGTTAAGTAGATGTTTGACTAGAAATTGAGCAGATGCAGATAAAAATTACATTTCAAAGCCAGAAAATCTTTAAAAAGCAGTTGGGCAGTAACTCATCCACCCGCAATTAAACTTAATCAACGTTCCATTATTTATGGGCTAAGCAAATAAAAGTTGGTTTCGGCGACGGAATACTGATAAATTTAAACTCGGCAGATAGGTCTTCGCATAAAAAACTATTTACCATATATTTTGCTTTTTACTGAGCCGGGAAAAAATGGAAATAAATGATGAATGTCCAGTAATGGCACTGAACCAAGCAAAAATTACAATTACTTTGCATACCCCAGCTCTTCGATAAATTCGAATTAAACAGGAAGGTCATGAAAAAATCATGTTTACTATTTCTGATATGTCTTTTTACTGCGAAATAGAGACAAATGGAAATGATTAATGGAAGTCAACTTGCCTATATTTCGTCTGTATTAACATACTAAATTTCGATGAGTTTGGAAAAAAAGTGTTTTCTATCGGTTGATTAATGTGAATGTTCAGCTCGAACGAGTTGCTGGGTATTTGTACTATTTGGGACATAGTTGTTTTTGGTCACTAATATGTTCATAAATTAAGATAAAAAATGTATGTATAAACATAGTTAGAATAACATGATTTCAAAACAGTAAAAAACCTTAAACAACTTTAGAACACACACTATTTTTGCATAGTATAAATACGTCTGTAAAGCAAATACACAAAAAAAATAATACGTGATTTCGCAAAGAAAGTATCGGGAACTCGATTAAATAGACCAACATGAAATGCTACTTTAAAAGCAGGAGCCCCATCGTCAAGGAATAACTTCCATCTAAACTTTCCAAAGAGATTTGAGCCACGGAGGTGATGACTTGCATCAATAGCAATTTTGAGAAAAAATCCTGAATTTAATGTCAGAAAAATACAAGAGCATAATTGAATTGAGAAAATTAGGAATGAAATAATCATTCCTAATTTTCTAAGAAACTTGTTTTGGCATTGCCCGAATGTTGCGTGCAAAATTGCCATTATCTTACCTACATATTTCTACCTACCATGTGTTTACTCTCACGGTTTTAAAGGAATCTCACAATAAATATTTCACTAGCCAATTTCAATAAATGCTCGTTATTGCACCGATAAAGAACGTGTTTGCCTGTACTTATTGAATATAATTTTTGTTATAGAGGAAAATGCAACATCTGTTAATATTCAATTTATTTAAACCTTAGTCATTTGTTTGAACTTTTTCTAGAACACATTTTACTTACAAAACTAATACCTTAATCAAAACTATTCGAAAATCTAGTCTAATCCTAATAACTTTGAATTAGAAAAACTATTATTGAACCATCTTTGAATTATAAAGAGAATACTGAATAACAAGTAACTTTAGAATCAATCATATTAGAGCAAAGGCCTAGATATGAGCGCTTACTATTTCTATACTTTCGTAGTTATCATGCAAAAATCTAAAAAAAATTCAAAATATCGACCATGCAAAAAGTTTACTCAATTACAGCTGAATTATTTTTTATTAACATATTTGGTAGTTACTATTACCATATTCGAAAAAAATATCGAAACAAACATTTTTGAAACATTAAAATCTTTAAGTTCAGTCAGAGTTTTTCGATTTAATTTTAAGTAAAACTACATAATAATGAACATCTTTAAATACTCACGTTCGCATACGACATATGAGATTAAATAAATAGGAAAATTGTAGATAGTTGATAACAGCTTGTGAATAGTGTCAGCATTGGAACTTTTTCCATGGTTCGTTGAATATTATTTCAATCATTCAACCAATAGATCCAAACTTGATCCATATCAGTTTATTTTAGCGTCCTATTTCGAAAACTACATCAAGCATGAGCGAATTTAATCACAGGTATAGCTAGCTCATCAACACCTTGGCGAGTCGTAACAATCGCACTCATTTTCGGCTAGTATAAAGGGTTGAAAAAGTTTTTTTCTAAGCTATTTTAAATATGGTTCAATTATTTCGCAAATGGTAAAGGCGAGTTTTGTTCTATATGTGGTTTACTACAATAGAATTACACAAACTTGTTTCCCATTAACTATTCGACAATTTCTTTAACAGTTAAAGTTCGGTAGTACGTCGGTATTGATTAACTTTGGGATTACAGCTATCGAAAGTATCCCCTATAAATATAAGCACACAGCCTCTAGATTAAATTCATCAAAAATGTTAGTCTATTTAGAATAGAGAATGTACCAACAAATCGGTATGTTAAATGTGTTCTTGCGAACTAAAATTGTTCATCCCTCTCATTTACCATTTCATGTATAATGTTACAATAAAAATCAAACCAAGGTAACACCAAAACATTCAAATAAAAATGTACAATCAAACATTGTTAAGTCCTTATTTTCATGTGGAAGAGTGCCATTATTCGTTGATCTAATTTATACAGCGTCATTAAAGAGCAGCTCCATAAAATCACTTTAAATTTATTGTAGTATTTCCAAACTAAATGACCACATCCATTAATTAAATAAGGATTGAATTTATGATCTGCATGGTCAATTTGAATAACGATGAATTTACTACAAATTATACGGTGAATTAATGGATTAATGGACACAGGGGATTTTCTTCTTGTACTAGATTTTTATTACAATCCAATAAATGAAGCGAATTGACTGATTTCCTTCTGTAAACTTGAAATGTTCAATTTTAGATCTGCTGTTAAGTTATGGTGATTTTATAAGTCGGATAAAGATATGTTTGCCTTCAAAACGACTATTTGCAGAATTCGGTTACTCAGCTGGCCTTTTCGATACTTCACTAAAACAATTTTAGAGCTTAGAGCGACCGAATTATTTTGCTATATTTGCAATTGCACTTTTATATTCCAGAAAAAAGTGATTGGGAAGTAGAAGGTATATATATTTGTCTAATGTTTTCTATTTTCAACTATTAATTCATTCAATATTATGCTTATTGCGCCGCAGAATTAATTTCAAAGTTAGAACTTTCAAAGGTAGATGAAAAAACTTTCTAGGTAGATGAAAAGTTGTTTGTTATGCACACAACCAATTAATGCCTCAATTAATTAATGAAAATGTTAAAACCCTGAAGAAATTGTGATTTTTTAATATGAATTTGTCAATATTGGCGACACTACCCACCAAATGCAAATGAATGGCACTCATGCTCCACGTATTCATCACCATGATTGAATAATAGTAAAATACGTACTATTCAGCACGTATTTCAATAAGAATTAACGCAAACATCACTTAAAAATGTAAAAAGCAAATCACGAAGTGTGTAGCTAAAGCATTAGTATGACACAAAAAAAACATTGAAAATAACTAAAAAATGTATATTTTTTAAGTGAACGGTTACAAAAGTTTTAAAGTGTATATTTTCACTAGAATTATAATAAAAGTCCAACCATGGTGACAACTATACTGAATGCACTATATACATTAGAATTAGAGTAAGAGGTAGGTTAGCTATTTAATACTCAGGTCTAAAATCAAACAGTTTTTCTACAAAATTTGTTTGTTTTAGCAAAACTAAATCCAACTGAATACAACAAAATGAATGCTCGCGAACCATATGTTACATTTCGTTTAAAGATCTACCAACTTACTAGTTTCAACGTAAATCAAATTAAAACATTTCAAAACATTAAAATGCATACGAAAACACAAAATGGTTCTCTCTTAAAGGATTAGAAGAGATTATAAAAAATAGTCATTAGAGAGTAAATGAGTATTAAAAACACATTTAAAAGAAAACTTGAAAAACTGTACAGCTTCAACTAATTGGGAATATTAAACTATTCGTATCGCAGTCTATTCGACCTTCATCGAGATTACAAATTTCTTCTATGCTAGAGTATTATCTTCCGTCTCCAACGCTGGGTCTTTTTTAGTGACATCTTGAGAAGATTCTTTACTAGACGATTCGGACGATGATCGTTCTTTCATGAAACGCTTGTACCGTTTCGTAACGGGAATGACCACCAACATTAATCCCGAAATTGCTATGAATAGTCCAGCCAAATAGAACGATAGATGGTAGGTGCCGGTAATATCATAGAGCCAACCTAAAAAATTAGAAAATACTTACTTCTTCATAAATAGTTATGTTCCCCTTTTATTCTTACATTTTTTAAATAGCTTATCATAATAAGAACATGAAAAAAGTGTCAATAATTACCTCCTAGCGGTGGTCCAATTAAATTGGCAAAACCTTGCACAAGTAGCAGCAATCCATAGGCGTTCGTGAATCTATCTAATGTGATTAGTTCGACTAAGATTACGCACGTCAGTGAGTAGTTGGCAGCTATCAGAAATCCAAAAGCTCCCGAAATCAAACAAAGAATATAATAGTCGGTAATTAATGGAGTCAAGGCTATGACTCCGCCGCAAAGACACATACAGATTGCGTAGATGATGCTGGCATTGGCCCAAGATCGATCCCCGGCCCATCCCAGGATTATCTGCAAGATAAATGAAGGAAACGTGAAGCGATATAAACAATAATACCAATAACAGAATAGCAGGAGAAGCGATTATTGCGAGTTTGTACCTATGGATACCGGGTGTCCGTTTTTGAAGCTCAGTCATGGAGATCTCGGTAACCATACTAGGTACGAGATTGGTGAAATTGGGGCAAAGTTGTGTAGAATAGAGCTTACTAAAATGCTCATTGAAAATTTCTGCTACTTACGGAGATATACGAAAAAAATTTAAATTCGAAAAAAAGTGTTCCTCCTAAGCTTATTTGACGCAGATATTTAAAATGAATAATACTTCATCATTGCAACTTTTTCTCTTCTTACAACGTGGCGATGTTGTATTTAAAATGCGACTTAGGGATTCTTGACGACCATCGTCAACTTTGTTTTTTCTTATGGGCGCCATCTTAGATTTTTACATGTTTGAATTCAACTTTTTTTTTCTAATTACATAAACAACACTTAAAAGTACTTCAAACCTATGGAACTTGTTCTTATTTCACATATTTGCAAGCTACTTATATATTTTAAACTTAAAATCCGAAGACAAAATAGCCAATTTTAATTTAAGCAATGGATTTTGTTCGGAACACGAGATCGAGTTTTTGTTATCAATTTGACAAATCTCAGACATTCTGTATAAAAACTTTCCATTTTGCCACCTTACAACGAACACTCAAAACGTTTTAATCCATGCCTATTGTTGTCCATAAGTGTTTCATCTTGCATTGTTCTATTCTCGTGCATACTTTTTGACGCGATGATTACCGAGGCTGAATGTATACAATCTAAGTTACTAAGAAATGCATTTTTTTAAATATATATTCCTGGGAAGAACGTTTTTTTTTATATAGCTTTTTTCAATTTCTATAATCCGTCATTGTTTAAACTGGGAAAAACTTCTCTTGGGAATTATTAGTGCATCTCCAAAAAGCTTGTTTTGTCATTAATTTTCTTCTCTTACCTCAGATTTGCTTCAATTCTGACAATTAGGTAAATATTGTTTTTCAAATTGCTGACATTTTATTATCTCTGAGTTGAAAACCGAGTAGCTCTTGTTGATTCTTAATTTAATCATCAATTTTCTCATTAACTACTTACTAAAACTAATATTTTGAGTGCCGTCTTAATCTGTACACTGTAAATCTATCTCCATTTTCAAGCAAAAGACAACGAAGAATTATAGCGAGTAAATGAGACAACACATTGTAGTTAAAATAATTGAAAGAAATTATGAAGACTTACCTCACCAACCATATTGATAATACCAATAATCGATATCAATATTGAAGCTTGATTTTCCGGATACCCCAGCATATTGGCATTGTCAGTTAAGTATACATAAGGTACATCATACCAAGTGTACAACAGAAAATTGGAAAGCGCAAACACCAAATACTTGGGATCGGCAAAATGCGAAAAATCAAACATATCAACTATGAGGTCCCAAAAGTCCCATAGTCCCGCACCCCATTGAGACTTTTCTTGAGCTATGGTGGTCATAGAATTCCTGTAAATGTCCGGACATGAACTAGCCCGCAACCGGTATCTTTTCAGATTCAACATGGCACCTCGATACGTAACAGAAAGCCTGCAAATAAAAGGAAATAAAATATTATTAGTTTAAAATTTAAAGGGCATTACAAAAGAGGAAACGTTCATTTATCAACGCTTCAAATTATCGCTCTCAGCTCAGAGGTCAACAAAATAATTATACATATGTATAAGAGATCTAATCTATTTTCAGAGTACACAAAATGTGTTATCTATTGGTTTAAATCAATTATCATCTATTGATTTAAAAACTGAAGTAAAGATTCATGTCATGAAAAATGGATCGATTTTATAAACTTTTAAAAGCTAAAGCAAGAATTGAAACGTTTTTACAGTGGAAAAACGTTGGGTTTTTTAATGCAAAGTAAAAATTTTATTGAAAATTGCTAGATTAAATACTGCTTTTTAGCTTAGTTATGCCTGGAATGTTTTTTTTAACTTTGAAATAAAATCAATTTCCATCTATGTTGATTGCAGTTTATTTCATACAGTTATTCTCATATTATTACGAAAAAATTAATTTTAAATCATGTATGTATTTAAATTGACGAATTGCTAATCAAAACCTTGTTGTAATTGGAGTTAACGGCTAATCCTTAATCTTATCGATTATTTACATTGTAAAAATATTTCAAGTTGAAGCAGAATTCCGTGAATCCCTGTAAAACATCTAATGAATATGTCTGATTTGCCCAAAATCACATAAGTCCATTGCAAAAATAGGGTTTAAAAAAATTTTTAGCATTGCATCAGCATAATGTTTATTAATTGCTATTATTTTTGATCGGTAACTTGGAAAACATTGAAGTTTGAAGAATATTAAAGGGCTTCAAACCGGTTTGCAAAAACTGGATAACCTTAGAGATAAGCAAAGAATTTTATTGAGAACAAAGTTTAAAAAAATGGTCGTGTTGTCCTTTCTATGAGGGTCGACGATTTTGTTTTTGTTTTGAGCCCAACACCTGCTCAAGAGAGGTTGGAATTGGAAAAACAATTTTAAGATTCCTCTTAATTAACGAAATTCCTCTCATTCATTCAATTAAGTAGTGTTGCTAAAAAAGACGTAGATTATTAAAAAAAAACTATAATGTATACAGGATACATAATGTATACAGGATACATAATGTATATAAACTATCATGTATCCTGTATGGCCAAAACTGAACACAGCATATGAAAGCATGTTATGGTACATAAATATGTGTACATATATACATATACTATATACATAAATATGTGTATATGTATATAGTGGTAAAAATGTTCCCACAAAATGTACCAGAGGAAAAACAAGAGGGGAGGATGATGAATGTTGCTGATGACGAGGTAGGCCTGGGTAAGACTGTGTTGAGTTGCGCTATTGAGTTGTTGTTGCTCTCTGAGTTAATGAGTTATAACTCATTGGTTAATAAGTTCTAAGTCATTTATTAAAACTTTACGAGAACCGAGACTGGAATTTCCACATCTAAAAAAAAAGGTCATCAATATTTTTTCTCAGTAACGTTTTACTACTTTGGTCAAACAACTAAAAAGACATCTAAATTTTCCCAACAACAGAACCAAGTCCCAGGAAAGTCAACGAGTTTTCTTGTAAAATCGATCTCTTCATTTTTTTGCATAACATATTCTGTTTACCAGTATTTTACAGTAAAACGTTTGAAAAACGCGGTTTTTCGGTTTAGAGACAGTGTTGTTTAGAAATGTTTAAACCCCAATTTCCAAGAATTTTCCAAATAAATAATTACAAACTTTCGCTTTTTCAATTGACAGTATTTAAAGTAAAAAATAATGCAATTTTTGCGTAAAAAGAATTGCTTAATAGAAGCCTTGATAAAACTAGAATAGCCAGAAAATTTAAAAGAACTTTAAAAATATCTGGAGCGATGAGGACGGCGTTTTCTAAAAAAAAATTCTCGATAATAATCAACTAAATACTTTCGGTAAAAAACTTAATTCAATTAATGAGTTTTTGTGCCAAATTCGAAGCTGAAAAGGATTTTCTAAAGTTCCCTGCAAATCGATGAATAAGGCTAAATTTGTAGAAAAATTAATTTTGTTATTTTTGGCTGAAAAGACCCCCATATCCAGAAAGGAAGAAAATAATCAGAAAACAATGGTTTTTGCGTTTTCGATTAAAAACTTTTAGTTTTGTGATCGGTTTTAGAGAAAACTTTAGTGGTTTTCGGGGAAAAACGGGAGTAATTGATTTTCGTTTTTGTCTCGGATTTGACGATGAAAAAAATGTTTACAAAGCTGTAAATTCATCTTGTATTTTTTTGCGTAAAAGACCTCCAGATCGTCAGTAGTTTTGAGTGAAACTCTACAAAATAGAGCGTTTTTTAGTAGAAAGTAAAGAAAAAAAATCGGTGAAAACTAAAAAACCACATTTTTTTAACAAACTCTTCAGTATTCACAGGATTGGAGGTGGCGAGATTTCCACATTATCTGTTAGAATGAAAATTATATGATTTTTCCTCCAAATTCGACGCTGGAAAGGGATTTCTAAACTTTTTACAAAGCGACCAAAGATTCGAAATTTATTTCATAATTTTTCACGGAAAATACCTTAAGCATTTTAAGTGAAACTTTAGAAAATTGAGCTTTTAGAAGAAAGAGTAACTTAGCTAAAACTGAAAAATTCAAAAATTTTGAAAATTTTTTTAAAATGTTCCTAATGAAACACCTTTATAATAAATCTAAATACAAGTAAAAAAAGTCATCAACATTTTCCTAGCAACCGAACTGAGTTACTGCGCCGGTGCGGTGGGTTTGCGCACCAAGCAATTTGTGTAGCACTGCAGTGCAGCACTGAGTTACCCAGGCCTATGACGCGGGCTTCCACATGTTATACAGGACTAATTTTCTCATTTTTTGACGTAAAGTTTAACTTTTGTGTAAGTACTTAATTTAGGAAATATGAATAAGCCAAACATGATTAAACAGAATTTTACTAAACTTGATTATTAAATTTGATATAGTTAACTCACAGAAACTTGCCCAACGAAAATACCACAAGTCCGTGCAGTCTTTTGAGCAAAACCCGACAAGTTTGAAAAAATTATTCAAAACCAAACATGTTCAAACTTGCGATTTATATTATGTCCAAAAATACGATTTCAATAAGGTGTGCCAGATTTATATTATAGCTACATAAAAAATTACAAGGACAAATTGAAAATTATGCCTACTATAAAACAGTTTTTCGGCATTAGTGAAATTTACGATTTGGCGGACTTGTGGGGTTTTGCTTGGCATCTCAATTATACATCCGATTATCAATACAATAATGTAATAGTCAACCACATGCACAAAGAAATTGTTGATTTTATTGCTTTGTTGTCAGAAGGAACTTGAACAAATTATGTAAGAAAAAGAGCGCAACTGAAAAGTAAAGGCTAGGAGTAAATTCAGCTCTAATATCAAGACGCTGAAAGGTGAAGCTGAAGCTGAAATGGGTCAACGAGCGTGAAACGCGAAACGTGCTTAAAAGAAAAAAATTGGGTCAAAAAGATTCGCAACTGTATTCATAGAAATGCTGTCGCATTGAAGGGATTTAAACTATTTTAAGGAACTTCTGGGGATTTTCTAAACGAACAGACGCAAGGTAAACATGCTTAACTATTTGTAAATCAAATTCATCATGAGTCTAAAACAGTAAAAGAGTAAGACTCACCTATGGATTCTAAGGTCTTTCAGAAATGCCGATCCAGGCAACTTTCTTGCAGGCAACGACTTTTGAGTGGGCGATAAAGGTGAAGCTGGATTCCCTTTAACCCACCAACTTTTGTCCCTTGGTGTTGACATCACGGCTGGAGGTGAAAGTTGTGTAGTTGTATTGGCATGTTTAAATGATGCGTTTGCTTCAGTTAGACGCCCGGAGTCGCTAAAGCTCCTTGAGGGCACAAGAAGATTCGGATAGTTGGCTACCAGTATATCATAAATATTTTTATTACTGGCCAACAGTTCCAACACTTCGACTGGAATTGTTTCGCCATCTCTTATGTAAGTTGGTAGATGGACCACAGAGTTGCATAAACGGGACTTTTGCACGTCAAATTCGTGATCCACACTGCCTTCAATAATCGGCTGAAGAACGCTAGCATTACATGTTCCAGTGCTAATGGAAAATGAATCGGCTGACATCAGTCGGCTTTTCCGCTTCAAGTGCCTGTTCTTCTTCCTTTCCTTGGCTAGGGATTTTTGTTTCTCTGATGTCCACGGCAGGTCGCGCATTAAACAACCGCAAACGACCATGTTTAAGAACAGACCGGCCAAAATTAGGGTGGTTCCTCGCCAGCCGTACTCTTCTAGTAGCTTCTGAATCAAAGGTGCAAATATAAACGTGCCAATGCCACTTCCACAAACGGCTAAACCAGTTGCGAATGATCTTTTCTTGTCGAAGTAATACGCCACGATTACAACTGACGCCACGTAACATAAGCTAAGCCCAAATCCGGCAATGACTCCAAATGTAATGCAGAGTACTATCATGCTATTCGCCTGGGAACTAATAATAAAGCCTATTGATGCCAAGAGAGCTCCATATATTGTAACTTTGCGGCATCCATATCTATCCGTTAGGAAACTGGCTATGGGGCCAGATAGCAAAGGCATGGCCATAAACAAACTGCCTACCCATGCAGTGGTGCTCCTGTTTTCCCCAAAATAATTCAAAAATTCTACGAATATGACGCCGAAACTAAATGTTATTCCATCGGCTATCAGATTTACTACGAAAGAGGCAGCGACAACAACCCATCCCCAACCTCCATCTGGAGGTCTGGCTTCGGCTATTTCCAAAGATTCACTTGAAGATGAACTAGATGATGAACTAGAATCATCTGAGGAAGAGGGGCTTGCTGAAGGTTGATCTTTTTTAACGAACGAACCGCCGTCATTATGATTAAATTGTACATGTAATACTGGTTTTTCTTCTGGTGCCGTGTGCATGTTTCCAGGACTATTTAAAAGCTTCTCACTTTCACTAGCATCAAACAATGGATTTATCTCCAATTTAGGCTTTCCTTTCGCGTTCTTCTTATATGGCAAATCAGACCTTTTTGCAGGTGCTCCATTTTGGGTGCACTTCTTGTTATCACTCTGGCACGAAACGGTGCCGTTGGAAACTAATTGGGGCGCTTTAACACTAACTTTATTGACAACAAGCAAAGAACGATCACTTTCACTTATTTCGTTAGTAACGTTTTCGCCGAAACTGCACGGTTCGGCTGAGGAAGCGTTAGTGTCCACACTTTCGGCCATTCTTGCAGATCTCTAGAACACTGTCTGCGCAACGAGGTCAGACGATAAACACTGCGATTATATCTTTTCATACGTGTGGTGGACAATGGTGGTTGCCGGGGGCGGTTTGATGTTTGGGCGCGTTTGGCCATACGGGGCCGGCACTGGTTACAGACGCCGAAGAGTTCGCTGAAACAATAGAAAGTTTATATAGATAAAAAAATGGGAAAATCTGAGGCGTCTGAGTATAAGCATCTGGGTGATTCACTAACAGTGCGAAGTTCATTGGCGCCACCATGTCTTATCCAAAACTTGATAATTTCAGAAATACAATGCGTTTAAAGTCAAAATTTCAATTCGTTTGCTAGAAAAGTAGTAACGTTAGGTTTTTTAAACTACGATTAAAAAACGTGTTACAATTTTCGTGTTGCTCATTAAGGGCTCTACTTGCGACAGAATTAGTTGATATTTAGATTAATAAATTTTCACCCTTAATGTACATAAATCAGGTATTCTCTCTTCGTATGATTCTTCGGTGCATTTTTGAGAAAAATCGATTCAACGGACACTCGGTTTTAGTAATAATAATATTATTAGCTTCGAATGCTACATACAAAAACCATTCCTTTTTCAAGTTTAGCAAAAGTGGACATGCATAATTCAAGAGCCATACATCTAAAATCAAACAATCAGATATTCCCTCAAAATAGCTTTAAAGTTATCACAGTTTTTATAGCATTGGGTAGTTTATGTATTTTATTCGAAATAGGGGTCTAACCTATACATAGTTTCAGTTTCAACATTTGTCTCGAGGAATACCAATCGACCAAAATAAAGTTCATTACAGTGTCTCGTTTGATAAGTATGAACGTCCTTAAAATATTTTACTTTATCACAGACAAGAAGAAAAGCGGTTATTTCATCGATTTCTTTGTTGGGTTATTTGAACTTCCTGGCAAATTAAATAAGTAACTGCTTTTACAATGTATTCAACAAAACTTAGTCGAATTTTCTGAAGATATTTTATATCATTTAAGAAGTGGTTTATGCAAGATGCAGCGTCACCTCTCAGAGGTCCGGACTTCAATCCTCTAGATTTTTCTACTTGATCTCACACGAAAGAGATTTTACAACGAACTTGAATGAACATTCATGAACATTGAAAAGAAGTGAAAATTAGAACAGCTTTTGAAAGTTTACATTATTTGTCCATATTTATATGCTATAACGTAAGTTAAAAATTCACAATTTACATTTACAAAGGAAGTTAGAAAATCGCCTTTTTTCCTCACTAGTGAGGGTAAATGGGGAATGTTTTATTAGTTTTGACTTCTTGATAGGACGACTGATCGACTATAAGTGGCTAAATTTCACGACTAATCAATGATCATGAATCAATGAAAGTCAAAAAATACAAGAGGATTCAATTATCGCCACACTTTGGGTACCCAACAAAATAACATAATTTTGAAATTTGGAAAATTGAAAATCTTAGAAATTTCTTGATAAAACGTTTCTTAATAAATCGTTTTCGCTTTCTTGTGATGTAGGTAAGTACATCAAAAATATTGAATAAGGTAACATAATGGACAATGAAAGGTTCTTTATCATGTCCACTTTTTATTACTATGTTCCTTGTTTTCAAGAATTTATTCAGACAGTTCAGACAATTGCATGGCTGCCAGTATTGCATTCAGCATATATTTATAATGAAAATTAATATTTTAGGCTTGCATTATGCCATCTTTAACACATGACGAGAAGACGCCAACTTTAATCCTTTCCATCTTTAAAATTTATTTTTTTAAAATTCCACACCGTTCGAATGAGGCACCGGCGAATTCATTTTTATTTTTCAAATAAACTAAGTAGAGGCAAGATAGGTGCAAGACGAAAGAATTATAAGTTGAAAAGAAATGAAAAGCATTAATAACATTTTTGGCTTAGTGGCTTTTTCCTGTGTATTTAATTAAAATGTTCCAAATTTCAGCAGCTTCGCGTTGAGTACAAAATAACAACCATAATTAAATAATAATTCAAACCAACCGTACCGTTTTCATAGGAATAATCAAACTAATTTATGTTAAAAACATTTCGTACATATAAAAATACATAAATCTCAAGACCAAGAGTTGGAGCCCATTTTTTTAAATCGTATATGAATTTTAAACGTTAATATTTCGCATATTACTCAATACTTGTTATGTTGATCTAGTTCTCATTCAGTTAATGATCTATTTTGAAATATGCAAGTTATAATTTTACAGCGTACTTGGCAAAAACCGAGGCAGTCTTGAAACAAACAAAAATATCAACAACTCAGTTTGCGTTGCAAGAAACAACACCTGAATAAGAACGCACATGAGCATGAATGCATGAGAAAATGTATTAAGTAAGGAGGCTTTCGCACTGAAAAAGCGATTAAATAAACATAAACCTACACGGGTAAATAATACATCACGTACGAGGCAGTAAAAGAATACAAAATTCTGTTAACCGGGCTGTTTCTTCAAACATTACGAATGCTCAGATATTTTTTCGGAAAACGAGATCCAATCCAGAAAATCCATCCAGAAAAAAGATGTGCTTGTTATTTATTTCTGCTGAAACCATCCCAATAACAGTTAATATTTTAACTGTAACTTAAACAGCCACAAATTTCCTAATCCACTGATTTTCAATAGTTATGGTTCCTGAAAGATCAATTATGGAGATCGATTTTTTAACCTTGAGACGCTCATTCATATTCGATCTCCCATGTTTAAAAAAATTCTATATTTGTTCTTGGCTTTAAAATACTTGTCTTGCTTCCAACTTTATTTCTGCCGGTATACAGGTCTTAACAGGTCAGCCTGACATTATTATGTGCCATTTATTGATAACCATAAAGTACAACGTTTTATTATTCATTGAGTTATCTTTTTATTTGTATTATTATTAATTTCACGTTTTCTAGAACAAAAAAATCGGCTTACCTGCGGCTTAATATAAAAAAATCATATACTAACTGGGTTATCACAAATAAGATGAGTCATTAAATGTATCATGTGACATTATATTTCCAAATAAACTTAATTGAACATTAATGAAGATATGTTTGTTAACATAACAGATCATATACATTTAGAGCATATTAATGGTGCACAAAAACACAACAAAACACGCGCTAAAGATTATAATAATCAATCCAAAAGTTATTTTATTTTTAATTTGTAGATATAGGTTTCCTCGGCATTCTGATATATGTACTTACCAGGAAATGGTTTCAATGGAAATATAAAAAGTAATATAAACCGACAAAAGACAGTTTTTTGTTGAATTTTTGTCATTAATATAATCAAGACTGAAAGGAAAACAGAACAAAACACTCCGTTTTTATAACATTATAAAAATGTTTTTAAAGCTTCCGCCATTCTTCCTCAAATAATCTCCTAACAAAGAACCCAACTAACTCATTGTCAGATTTAATGGCAACAAAATGCCTTACCAGGCGGTGTTTCACCCTAAGGCTGATGTATCTCACTTTATAACTCATTCATTGAAAAATGTAATCAATCTGCTATAGACATTTTAGCTGAATTAATGCACTGAAGGTATCTAAACGTGTACCGCACATTTCATTCCGCACAAATACATATGCTCAAATCATTAGCCTTTGCTCATAAGTGGTTAAATGAACGCGTAGGTTTTAACTGATTAATTAGATTTCATGAAGCTAAACTATATTTACTAATAGTTTACGGTAATGCCTCAATTAGAAAAGACGGCATTCAGGAGGATTGTCCGCTCACAAAAGATAATGATAGTGCGAATAAATGTAAAACTGAAAAAAGTTTAATATTTGTAGTGATCGCTATTATTTGAAATATTTTAAGAAAAAAAAATACTGGAACAGACAATATCAAGACAAGCGACTAGTTAAATGAAAATTAATTTTAGAACTACAAATGTAGGTAATTAGTAGTCACGTTTCAAGTTCAAATGTTATCGGTTTGTTTAAAATAACGTTCAGTACAGTCAGTATCGACTCATTACTATGATATTTATCTTAATGGAGACAAAGCTCTCATATAAAGCTAATTAAAAACTATGAAAATTCCCATTGTCCAACCAGGTAAACCATCAAGAATGTTTTACCACAGATTATGAATAAGTCAAATGTAAAGCTTTTAAAGCACATATATTACTTTAAAATGTTACCAATAAATTACAATAAAAAATGCATTAGTTTAGAAACTACATCATAAAGTTTCTGATTATTCGCAAATTTACTGGAGTTAAAAAGTTGCAAACTGCAGGCTTATATGCCTTTCACTCAATAAAAAGCTTAGCTTCAACGCTAATGAGCCAACCGCGCAACTTGAAAATGAGCTGAATGGAACTTCCAACAAAAAGTTTAAATAATAAACCATGTTGCACTTGAACAACAAAAATGTTGAAAACTTTTCAGCAGGAGTACAGATTATTTCATAATAACTAATTTGAAACATGCACCAAATATTTGTTGCGCTAAAAAAAGTATTTGAGTTGATTTTAGGATTGAATTTAAACGCAAAGCAAAGTTATAAAGCAGTCTATTTAAAAGTGATTAAAGATCATTACGATAAAATGGTGCCTACTTACCAAATGATCCAAGCAATATAATATTAGACAAAATAAGTATACTAATAACCCATAACATTGTTACTTCTCAGTCACATAAAAACTTTCAAATGCCAACAAGACTAACTTTTCTGTCGTGGTCTCGAGCACTGATTTAATGACTCTTGCTGGATACTTGAGAACTATTGACTGCAAATCTTTTCAAATGGGCAATGGTTAATGAATTTTCAATATTTTATTTAGATAATCTTATCTGAAGAACATACTTGATAATTGGAATAGTAGATACCGATTTTTGTACAACTCAAGACTTAAAGAAGATCAAGTTTTCCTTGCGGGTAGAGACTAAATTACTTAATACATTGTTGTAATGGTTGTTTAACGTTAAATTTAAACGAAGTAATCTCACTAGCAAAGTTCTCAAAACACTTATTTACATAAAACTGGATAATAAGTCCAATTTAATCTAATATAAACCGTTCTTATTCTTCCAAGCATCTTGTCTGCCATGTGAGAACTCAGACTGTGAGATTAGATTGAAAGCATAAGTAAATCAATGCCAAAGTAAATATGCAAAACTAATAAAGTACCATGTCTGAACAAATCATTTATTCGGTCCAAAGTTTTATATAGTTGTATATTTTTGCGTAACAAAATGTTGATTCTATCGAATAGTTATAAATTACAATTATATTTTAAACATAGTTTATCATGCGCTCTATTTCTCTACGTGCAATAAACCATTATCCAAACAACGTCACACCAGGTTAGTATAACGCACATAGAGCATAGATTTATATTGGACAACAAAAGGCTATTTCAGAAAAGATCACGTTTATTATTAAATTTCGCACGACTTGTTATGATTCAGCGTTACGGGCAATATATGCAATGGAGAAGCAGCAAATTAACCTGTTAAGTAAGTATAAGAAGTATATTCCAATAAGCACAAAAATGGTGTTAAGACATATTAACAAAAAGTTCAATTATATCGCTTCCTTCTCTTCCCTTCTTTCGTTACAGCTGTAAAGGATTTTTCATACAGTTTTCACATTTTCCGAGATATTAGCTGTTTAGATTTTACGGTTTCATATCTTTCTTTCAATGTAATTCGACATTAAGAAGGACCCTATTTCTCGAGAAGATACCAACGATTGATTGGATGTTTAGGCTGCTTTCAAAAACTTTCATCATAATTTTTGCTCCTATCTTTTTAGAGGTTAGGAATTCCTGATAAAGCCTAAGTAGTGGAAGAGTGCTTTCGAGACGAGTTATCGAAAAGGTCATTACGAGTGTTTCGATATTTTCAACCGTTCACGAAATATGAAGTTTTTAAACTTTCAGACGACCGGCTTTAGGCACAGGCAGGCTAAGAAGTGTTTGAGAAAAATGCAGATTACAATTATCTAAGATGAATAGAGTATAAAAATTCAAGAAAGGCACGACTTATTATCTCCTTAGCATAGGGAGGCTCTTGCTGCGTTTCGTATATAATCGAAACCTTAACCACTTATAAAATTGAACCCTAGTTCTGTTAAAAGACTGTTTCCTTTAACGCTTTACAAGAATTTTCCGTTGGTAAAACCTGAAGTTTCCAAAATTGTGTAGTTAGAAAATTCCAAGATAACATGTTACGATAGCAGCCAGATTCGAAAAACACTGCATATATGAATTCACAATTTTCATTGTCTTATCTTATCTGTTAGCTGCTTTTAATATCCAATGCAGGTTCAGTTAATAAATAAATTGAGGTAATGAGCCCCAAATATTTTTCCTATTACGATTTAAAGGAGCTTTTACATTTTCTGGAGCTTTATAAAATAAAAGGTTTGACGACCGGAGCTATTTCAAACTGGTGTTTTAATGAACTATTTAATATGCTGCGGTTTTTTATAAAAAAAACTAATTTGGGAACGCAGCAAATTAATATTAATTTCGTGTTTCAGCTGCAGTTTGTACGGTTTGTGTTAATAATGCTTAGTTAGACTTGATTCGGAATCGTTTTGGCGTCGGTTATCATTTCAAAAACTATGCTAGATTCCATAATAGTTATTTACATAACAGTAGGATATGAATATTATTAACGCACGCATGTCAAGATTTATTTGCACGACGAGGTTGTAGGCCGAGTCGTGTAATCGCATAAGTGCGTTAATAATACAATATCCTACGTGTTACGTACAATATTTTATCTACAACTATAAGAATTATTATTTTAATGATTATTTGAGAAAAAAATAAGTAGTTATAAAATTGAATACAGAACACCGGTAATGAAAATTTATCATGGTCATCAGAATCATTGTCAAAGTTGTGTTTTAAAATTACACATTTTATAATGAGTTCAAGCGAGGATCTGCCATGGGATATTGAGAACGAAGATTTTGCTGTTGTTTCGTATCTTGTGTGCCAAGAAAACCACGGAAGAAATACCAAGCTTTCAATCGGTACCAGAAATCGTGCAGACAACGAAAGATTAACAAGCGAAAAAGAATTATGTATATTTTATCAAAGTAGGCAAAATACATAAATCATCATCAATTTGGTGTTAAAAGCTTCGTTATGAATATCAGATGGCAGATCATCGCTTGAACTTATTTTAAAATGTGCAATTTTAAGACACAACTTTGACATTGATCGACATATTTATAACCGCACTAGTGCGGTAATAAACATCATTATGAAATTGGAAAGGGTGCCAAGTCAAAGTCATTATATAACAGTGATAAAAACTGAAACGTTTTGATAATTCTTTTTTCTTTTAGGTTGATCAAACACAAAAACATGTTTTCCAAAATAAAAGGTTAGAAAAGGGCATCTGCAGGGATCGTAGCCCCGGGTCGTACCACAGGTTAATCGGTCCTGGCCACGTCCATAAAGTATCCATTCAGAATCTGGTCAAGGAAAATAAATCAAAAAGATTTGACTGAGATTTTTTTATCGAAAAAACGGAATTGGAAACTAATGACTTCCCAGAAAAATGTTAAATGCGCCTCAGTAGTTTTTTACGAAAGTTTAGAAACGTACGTAAAATTATAAGTAAATATAGCAACCTCCGTAAATGATCTTTCAGTATCTGGTCAAAAAAGATAAATCAAAAGCGTTTTGAAAATTAGATTTTTTATGAAAAACGGAAAATGGAAACTAATGACTTGCCAGAAAAATGTGGAAAGCGTGTTAGTAGTTTTTTGAGAATTGCGTTGTGCCATAAAATGCTAGTCTCAATTTTGAAATAAACACAATTTTCATATTTCTCATCCAAGAATCGACACTGAAACGTTTTGTCAAATTGAATATAATTATTTTCGTAGAAGTATGAAAAATGTACGAAAACACCTTTAAATTTCACCTTCCCTTATCTACAATTTCTTACCATAATTGTCAAATATCAGCTTGAATTGCGATTTTTTAATTATCAACGTAAAAGCCGTGAATAGTTTATTTCCAACTCGGAAATAACACTTAAAACACATAAAACTTTCAAACTTATCAACAGTTTTAAATTTAAAGTTAATCAATTAAAATTTTAGTTTCAAACGCTTTACAGCAAAGTAAACGTATCTAGCTGTTTGCAATACGTACTCTTATATTTGACGAGAATCCGCAAATATTCCAATAATCCAATTTGCCAAAACCAGCTCATAAAATATCTGCCTTAAAATGATGTTCTATAAATAACAACGCATAATTTCAAATCCGAACTATTGAATGAATCAACTTAAAGAAGATAAAGACTTGTTCTTTACCTGAGGAATCAATCAAATACATGTTGGCGCGATCAAATCCACTGCTACTTTTTTATGACAAAAAATAATCCACGGTTATTGCTTTTATCACCTTTTAATCACTTCTCGGTCCAGCATTGTCTTTTCCATATAAAACCCACCTAACATTTAAAAATGTATTACAAGATTTCAACCGATGTAAACTGCCGGCAACACTCTTTCATTGTGATAAAGCACAACTAAATGTTTTAAATGTGCACAAGTTACTACACAAATGATGTCTCTAAAGAATGATTGAAGCTACAAGTAGTAGTCTTTTGTTGATATTATTTGCTATCAAGACTCATTGGCTGGCAGTGATAACGCGCTAGTAGGTACTGGGTGAGCCAGATAAATGATACAAAACATTTGACCGATAAATGAAGAATTGGACATGATTAAACAAAAATAGATTACATTTTACAGATCTAATCGACGCTTGCTCATGTCTACCGTTGACTTTCACAAATAAGGATGCTGAGGAATATTAGAGCGATTTTATTCAATCACTCAGAATTCGAAATGCTTCTAATCATGTATAAAAATATTGTCACATAGAAAGCACATATCGGATACTCACAGTCAAACAATGATATCTGTGGAATTCATTTCAGTTCTGTGATCCCTGTGTTGCGTGAGATTGTACTTGACCCATGATAGGAAAAAAGATAAAAGACGAGTAATCAAATACAGAACACGTTGAAATACTAGCAAACCAAGATACCTTTTAATACTTCATTTGCATCATTAACATGGTTCTTAATAAACCTATTTTTAATAATAATATCAGTAAAGGAATTGCTTCAAGAAATTAAAAGATCGTACTTGGGGTATAAAATTATTAAATTTGGTGAATAAAATAATAGGGATTTATGAAATTGTATTTATTAGCCGTCCACTAAAATTTTAACCTGCATGTTATATCGCGGGTTTGCATTTCTCTCTAACCAACAATCTATATAATAATGACATTACTATCCATACAATAACTTAGGTTAATATTTTATTCACAGAATGCGTTTTTGCAGGTGCTGCCAACAATGTCCAATATTAGTCAATATGTTCCGAACTGCCTTCACTTGCGGTATCTTCAGTGCTACTCGAATCATCATCTGATGAGGAAGTGTCTTCAGCGGTCCTCAATTCGGCCGCATTTTTTTGCTCCATAATTTCCCTGAATTCAAGTACCGTAATTTTCTTTGGTAAAATGTCTCTTAAGAATCCGTATTTTTCTTCATCGTGCACTACAGCGGACAGGTGCCTGTAATCTATCTTTTTACCGAACTTCGTTTCATTATAACACTCTTGTGTGAATGTTCTGATGAAGAGTTCAGCTGCTTTTGACATAATTATGCTTGATTCTCTACTCACAACTTCATCGGACGTACTTTTCATTATTGTTTGAATTCTACCCACTGGAATCACTACTTTGGATGTTAGTTTCATATCCTCCATATTTGAATGTTTCTAATATTTCAGATGCTTTACTTCAGATCGCAGCAGCGTAGAACTTTTCTGTAGAAGACACAAAAACAAACAAACTTAAAAACAACACAAAACACTAGATACAGTATAACAAAATGAAATTCACCCACTTTCACTTTCTATAAAAAAATACCTTACTGAATCAATAAAAATTAGAAGTGTTTCAACGATACAAATATATAATTTCGTGCTTAATATTTTTATATTGTCAACATGACATTGAAACATGGTAAAATTTCTTAAATATACGTGGGCTTTGTCAATAGAGACAGTAATATTAAATTTCAATTATAAAACTTTCCGGCGTTAAGCGCTTTCAAATAGCAAATCGGTATTAAAGCCTAAATACTTTCTTACGAAGAATATGTGAATATCGTGTTTTGTCGCGGCATTGAACTTCAGTAATGCCATCTCCAGAATTCCAAAAAACTCAAATATATGTGTAGCGAAAAAGGAAACAAGGGAAAATTATATATGAAAATATTGAAAAATTTTCATCTTGAAAATTGTGGATTTCAAAATAAATGGAACTTGCCTCATTCTCAATTCAAATTGCACCAGTTCAAATAAGCAATTCTTGTTAAACGAATGGAAATTACTAATTAAACCGAATATTTAGCTTGTGGAGAAAACCAGTAGAGACAATGACCATTATATCGAACCGTACTACGATCCACCTTGTCATATTTCTTTGCTTCTTATGTCTCATTTCTTATAATGTCTCGAATTTTTATGCCTAGATTTTTTGAGCTTTAATATTTCACGTAAAATGAAAAAAAACTAACGATTTCAATCAAATTCATGAAGACGAGACAACAAGGATAACTCCGTATTCATATACTAAAGTTGTTTTAAGATATTCAGGTATTAAAGTTGTTTTATAGAAAAATAAGATTCATTCACCTTATGGAAAAGAAACTGTTTGCCAAAAATGTATGATGGACTCGGGATGTTTTTCTATTAATTTTATGGTTTCAAATAGTTTTCATTCATGTTTATTTCTTCAGCAGAATTTTTATTGAAACTTTTATGTCAACATTATAAAACACAAGGGATAATAAAAGAGTACCTGGCAATTGGCCCAAAAATTTATTTTCAATTTGTAAATTTTGAAGAAATATCTAGGAAGAAAATGTTGAATTTTCCAAGATACAATATGGCAAAAGAACTCTAAATCTTAGTCACCAACTATTATAAAATTGTTCTTATGCATTTAATTTTTTTTTAATTTTGGAAAATTATGTAACTTTTTAAGTTGAAAATTGGAGAAAATAAGCCGGCGATAAACTTCAAAAATGGTAGATGGTCTGGAATTTTAGAGTCAAAAGTAAACTTACGATATTTTGGAACACTGAAAAAGTGGCTGTTAACCGGAACACCAAGTTGAGCAAAAATTGCCCTATTTAAGTATAAATTGTCAAATTTGGAAGCAAAACCAACAAATACGCTTTGCAAAACAGATTTGCGTGAGAAATTTGCAAATGTCCAATAAAAAATGTAATTATAACAGGCAATTTTCCGATTATTTATGAATGGGCTCAAAGATAGAGATAGGCGAGATTTATAATTAATATAATAGGACTTCGACAAAACAAATACACAAATACCTATGAAATGTGAAAATGCAAGAGCTAAAAGTTAATTTTGTTGTCGTCGGGGTTGCCGTCGTACTCATAGGATTCTAGTTGAAATTTAAATCATAAGACAATCCATATATTCAAATGTGTAATACAATCTGGATGATATCAGCATATACCGTTCGTATTCGTGATTTAAACACGGAAATTAAATGTCAACCGTGGAAATGGAATGTTTAAACTCTGTGTGAAAACGTTGAAAAATCTGAAATGAGATTCGTTAATTTTTAAAAGGATTTTAATGTTTTCCCATATTTAGCAACTGCGAATCACCAACATGGTCGTTTTCCTTTGTCCAAAAGTTAAGTTTCCTAAACAATTTCGCGGGCAAAAACTGTTTTATTTCTACGTTCAAAAATAATAAGTAAATATGCAAAACAATTCTTTACAAAGTTTTGCTTAAATACATAACGTATAGCTAGAAATAGATCAGATAGTGGCCGGCTAAATCACCAATCTTGAGCCCATTCTACTTCTTGTTGAGAAGAACTTTCAACATTTAAAGAAAAAATCAGAAACGCTTGTGATCAACTTTGTAAACATGTTAGCAATAGCTTGAGTGACAAAAGTAAGAAGGAATTGAATAAGTGTTTTGAAGTTGAAAATTTTCGAACGAAAATTCTATAAAATACGATATGAAAAACCATAAGAATAGGGGTTCAAGTGCATCCTGCTCAATCCCATTAAAGAATTTCTGATCAGACTTTTGGTATCGTTTTTGTCTTTCTGATAGTAAATCTAAAACAGTAAAACGGTCACCCTGTACTAAATACTTCTATTGAATTGTATGAGTGTTAACAATTGGTATAACCAAGTATACCAACAAGTACCCTCTCAAGTTGAAGTATTTTTTATACGTTCCATTACCGTAAGGTAAAGCTAACCAGTCAAAAGTAATAAGTCAATGCTAAATAATTAATTTTGTATTATCTGTACTATCAACATTATTTAGCAATTAAACAGTGATGTTCAGTTTAATGTAATATTGATATAACATCTCAATCTTACCGCGTGATTGATAATTCAGCGCACTACTTTCCAGTTATTATCGTACAGGTAATTTTAATCTGTTTTTAACACACCATATATCAAAAACGCTTAACTTTGTATCTGAAGAGCGTTCAAAAATTTCGTTTATTAAATATTGTAGTATTTAAAAAAGTGTGCAGGTTTTAAAAACTGACAAAACATGGTTTGTGATTGAACAAAATTCAGTTTAACCAGGAATGTGGGCACAGGCACGTCTCTAAACAAGTTTTGATATAAAAATTATTTGTCAAGTTTCTGTTCAGTTTGGAAGAGAAAACATTTCCTTTTTGTAGACCGCAATGTTATGAGCCAAACAACTTAAAATCGTATTAATGTGTACCTAGCATAATATAACTAGAATTACGTAGTAATTCAAGTGTCTCTTTTTGGTGTAATTATTGAATTATAAAGAGGAAGATTTTGTTTTACGACTAAGGAAAGGAGTTTCCGAAGTATGATGTGTTAAAAAAATTCATCTAAAATTACTTGCACTAAAACTTCCTGCAAAGAATGCACCGACTTACGCAACACAAGAAGCTCACATATTAAATTAAGTCCAACTATGAAGCGACTAGCGATATTGCTTTTAACCTAAAGATTTGCATTTAAAAAGTAACATGTTATTATTATTTGCGACCTGAAATCTTCATTCTATGAAAATTAATCGTGATTTTCAACGCATCGGTGTTAGGTGTATTGTACAAATTTGACCACGATTAATAAAAGCGAAATGATACAGGACGGTTACCGGAAAGTTTCGTATGAATGATGAATGTAATTCATCAAGTAGTTGGCAACCCACGAGGACACTAGACAATGTAAGCCATAGGTTAGTATAAGAATTTAAAGAGTGCAGGTATTCTGACTTAATTTGTATTTCCTATTTTCGTTATGGGTCAATTGTTGTCGGTAATAGCAATATTTTTAACTAGTACCTACAATAATAACTAGTTTTATGAAATATTTAAATAGAGCAGACAGCAATGTTGGTTCAACTCTGCGAAGAATCAAATTGAGTTGTGATTTTGATGTAAATATAATCGAAAATCTACATACCTGAGTATTCACAAATTCGATGCTAGAAAACAGCAAGCATTGTGCCAATTGTGTCAGGAAGAACGGATCGATCTGGATGCAGCTAAAGGTTTTGTTTGTTGGAAAATGAACAAAAAAAAGCAACAATCTCTGCAAGGCCTTGCCAAGAAACAGAAAAACTCGATTAATTGCTTTCGATTCGAAATTTTGTCACGGGCAATTCAATAACTGAAAACAGGGAAAATTCAATGAAGCGCTAATGGTTTGGTGGAAAGTGGAAAACTTTGAAAGGAATATAGAACTGACAAAGTGACAAACCAAACTGACCAAAATCCAGCTTTCAGTCTGAAAGTTTCAGACGGAAAAGTCAGCTGAGAACCAAAACAAAAGTTTTCGTCTTCTTCTGTGGTATCGTTGACAACGCTGCAAGAGGCCTAGATGGAAGGAACTGCATGTAACTTACAAATTTTATTTGAAAGAGCTATCATAATTGTTTTCTTCCATTTCAATTGAATTCACTAAGTTAATAAATCACTTAGAAATTACTTTTTTGTTGGAAAACGTCACTCTTTTATATACGCTGTCGAAAAGAATCTCTATACGCCTGGTCCCATGGTGTAATGGTTAGCACTCTGGACTCTGAATCCAGCGATCCGAGTTCAAATCTCGGTGGGACCTTAGCTTTTTTCAACTTATCAGAAAACTCTATACTTGTGCATATCCACTATCTAGCTTGTTCTTCCCCTTCTGTTTCAATTTGGAATTGAGAGCCTCATTTCAGTTTTGCAGGAAGTTGCGTTGAATTTTCACAACTTTTTAAAATATTTTTTAATCGTGTTAATTTTATTTTCAAAGTTTATAAAATGCAAACAAACGGAAGTAGACCGCTAAAATTTAGCGTTTTTATTAACAAGATTTGACTTCTTCAGAAACCTTAGTTTCTTGCAGGAATTTGCGCTGAATTTCGACAGTTTTTTCAAAACATACTGAAAACTGTTTCTTAATTGAGCGCGTCCTCAGTTTCAGTTTTGAAGGAATTTTTTTTAAAACCTAAAGAAAATTGTTTAATCGTGCGCATTTGACTTCCAAAGTGCATTACATGCAGTCAAATAGTCATCCAAAAGTTTTTGAATTTCTTTAAAAATACCTCAGTTATTAACAGTCCAGAGTCTCGAGCATTTTGGAAGTTTCTTTAATGCTTACAAAATTTTTGAAATTTACTTTAAAACTGTGTTAATCGTGCTCCTTCTGATTTCAAAGTGTCTATATCTGTGTCTGTGTATGCAGTCTCAGTTTCAGTCTTATGGGAATTATGGTTGAAGTTGGCAAACATTTTTCAAAACTTATTGAAAAAAACTTGACTTGACTTTCCAAGTATGTAAAAATGACTTTTATTAACAAGGTCCGATTTCTTTAGTCTTCAGTTTCAGCCTTTCAGGAATATGGCAAAATTTTTAAAACTCACCCAAAAAACCTGTTTTCTTAGTTGAACACATTTGATTTGCAAAATTCGTAAAATGCAAATGATAGCAGATAAGGGGCCGAAGTTTTCGATTGGTATCAAGATCCGACTTGTAGGAATTTCTGTAAAATTTTTACAATTTTATTATGCCTATTCATAGTCAATGTATTTCATCAAATTTGCTCCGCTTGAGCAAAAGTCGGAAAACACCTATTTTCGTAAGACCCCTATCAAATTAACACAAATCTGCATGGTGAACGATGCTTAAAGCACACGCCCTACAGTCGAAAATAGGACCTTTTCTTGTATAAACAAGTGGTTCGAAAATATTTAGTTTTGTTATACCGGGCAGGTGTTTAGGTCATTTATTTTGCCTAATTCACTTTTTTACAACCAGATTATAGCCCCATTAATTAACCATATTTTACCTATCACAAGCGTTTGGTGCATAAGCGCTGTAGAGCTCAAAAAAGTATATAATCTAAGTAAAGTATTTTAATGTTAATGTTTCTCAGCCGTAAAACGAACCAAAACATGCCTATGAAATTCAATGAGAGAAATCTGAAGATCGCCTAACAAGATCTTGCCCGGCTAGATGCAAAAAACTTCTTTCTGATATCAATAATTTTAAAAACAAGGTGATAGTTACTATGTGGTCTCGAACAAACGTGTTTTTAAAAAACGACTTTATTGAAGCGAGTACAGGATGAGAATGAATATAATCTTGGGCTTGCATGTTAAGGAAAACAATCTTAAACAATAGACACTAAGATGCTGAATTGCGTCTGGCTGAAATGCAGTCTTAGTGATAAGGCGATTGTAACTCCTCCGCCTTTAGATAAAAGTATACCCTATATGGGTGTAGTTTTACATTAAAGAATTATGTCGTTGTTTGCAACTTTGTTTTTCTTTAAATTTAACTTACTTTTTAAAAGTTTATATAATATGTAAATGCAACCCATTACAATAATTATGTAAATTATAATTGTCCAAAAACTTATATGTTTGACATCAATTGGAGAAATTACTTCTGGGATGTTTCGTCTTTGGGCTTCCAGTTGTATTTGGAGTTGTCGAGTGGCTTCCA